TGGGAGCTAAATATCAATTCAAAGGGAAACTGAGGCACTGAGAGGCAAACCAGGGATGGAACCCAGGAGTCCTGGCTCCCAGCCCCACCCCCAGCTCTAACCGCTGGGCCCCCTCCTCTCCCAGAGCCGAGGACTGAACCCAGGAGTCCTGGCTCCCAGTATCCCTGCTCCTCTGCAGATGGGAACGGTCTAGGGCTTGGGAAGAATAGCAGCGCAGTTCTTATTGCATCCAGTAGGGGGCAGTGCAAAGCGCAAGCGTCACTGCAGAGATGGAAACTTAAACCTAAGCGCAATAATATTCTATCCATCCCCATATACGGGCTCGGGCTCTGGATCTAGCCCACCTCCCCCTGGATCCATATCTGTGTGTCTGCCCCATATCCCCATCCATCCGTCCTCCCCCCGGCTCCCCACACGTGTTTTCCCCCCATCCCCCCCCCCACATCCATCCGTCTGTCCTGCCCCCTGGGTCCATATCTGTGTGTCTGCCCCATACCCCCGTCCATCCGTCCTCCTTTCTGGATCCATATCTTTGTGTCTGCCCCACACGCCCCTGTTCCCCGCACCGCAGATACCCACCCAGCCCTCCCAGGTGCCCTGCTCACTCTCCCCCCCGGGTACCTTTCTTCCTCCTGCACAGCCGCTTGATGACGTGCCACATCCATTGCACGAGGAGGCAGAAGCACTTGCACTGGTTGCACATCGCGGGCTCACCTGCGCCTGGGGGAGGGGGGAGAACACCGGGGCCAGTGATCAGGCAGCGCCGGGGCCAGAGTCGCTCCCGCCTGCCTCGCCAATCCCCCGCCGGGCTGGAGTCTGGGGCTCTCGTCACGCCAGGCTCAGACCTCTCGCGCCCCCTCCTGCGCTTGGCCGCACAGCTCGCCTGGGATGGAGGGTCCCGGCTCCGAGCCAGGATCCCGGCGTGACCCCGCCGCACGTTGTCCGGGGAGGGCCCCCTTCACATGGAGATCCGCTCCCACCCCCGGCCGTGCCATTTCCCCAGGGTCGGTGCTGCTGGCAGCTCCTCCTGCTCACCCGTCGTCTCGGCTTCTAGCATAATTAACCGCCCCACCCGCCCGCCTCCACAGCGGCCTGGCAATCCAGCTGCGGTGTGAGCCAGATCCCTGTGCTAACCTGCCCGGCGCCTCCTGGCTAGACCCCGGTCGTCCTGAATCGACGGCCAAACCGGTTTGAGTCCGCGCCGTGAGAAAAACACCACCAGCAGCAGTGAGCTGGCTCCGGATTCACGACAGGGCCGGCCCGGACTCCCCTGACCTCAGCGGGGTCGCTTGGGATTTAAACGGGGGTCGCTGGAACCAGGACCCAGCAGCAACCGCCCCCCGGGCCCCAGGGGCAGCGGGAGATCTGTGACTGATCGCCATTCCCAGAATCCGAGGGACCGCCCTGATCGGGTCGTTTGACGACCTCTCTGTGCCAGGACTTCCCTGAATTAATTCCTGATTCAACAAGAACAGATCCTTCCGAGCCAACTCGACCGAACCACAGCCGGGGCCTCGGGGCCTCTGCCTCGACTCTCGGTAAAGTGTGCCCAGGGTTCATTCCCCTCCCTGTTACACAGTCACACCTCGCTTCCCGTCTGAATTTGGCTGGTGCTGGCGTCCAGCCGTCGGATCGGAAAACTCTCTGGCTGCGAACGTCTGTTCCCCCTTCCAGCCACGCCTAGGGGGGGCTCCTGTCTCCCCGTAACCTGTCTGTGGCGCTACACGGACCGAGCTCCCGGAGTCAGCGTTTCTAGTTCTCCTCGAATAAGGGCTCCCAGAACTGGATCCCAGCCGTGGCCGCACCGGGGCCGAATCCAGATGGTAAATCCCCTCTCGGCTCCTGCTCCAGAGTCCTGTTTACATGGCCCAGGATGGTGTGGGCGCTTTCTCCACCCCCAAATGTTTCCCAGGAGGGAGCCCCCTGGGCCCAGACACTTCTAAGAGCCACCGGGCCACGGGCTGGCGTGGCGTGTCCCCTCCGTTCCCCACCAGAGAGATCCTTACCGATCTCCGGCGTTGTCCCACTCCGGGTGCCTCTCCCTTATCCTCTGGGAACGGCCCCGGGTTTATATACCCGCCTCCCCGCCCTGAGTGCCCAGACCGGCTGGATCCCAGCGGGGCCAAGTCACGGGGTGGGGAGAAGTCGGGGTGTTTTCACAACCACCCCAGAGCAGCCGGTAGGGTTGGTAGCCTGCCAGGTTGTCACTGAAGCCAGCATCCTCCACCTCACCCCTCGCCAGGGATGATTCTTTCTGGGGGTCTAAGGGGGGTGGTGAGATTTGGGGGATGTGGAATTGGGGCAGAACAGATCTGAACCCCCCCCCCCGGCTCCCTTTATGGGATCTGGGCTGATTCCCCATCCCTGCCCCCTCAAGTGAGCTGGGATTTGGGGGGAGCCTTGTCGCTCTAGGGGGGTGTCTGACCCTCTCTCCCTGCCCCCCTGGCATGGGCTAGGATCTGGGGGACCCTGCCCCATGAGGGTGTCTCCACCCCCCATGTGGGAGCCAGGATCTAGGGGACCCTGATCCTCTGAGGGTGTCTGCCCCCCAACCCCAATGTGGGAGCCAGAATCTAGGGGGCCCTGCCTCTATGGAGGTGTCTCCACCCCTTGCCCCCCAAGTGAGTGGGGATCTGGGATGGGAGCGTGAAGCGAAAGCAGACTGACATAACGGAAATCCCGGCGGTGACACGTTGAGGTGCGCGGCACCCCTGCTGGGAGGGGGGTGGGAGGGCCTGGCCAGCGTGTGGGGCAGCCCCCCAGCCCTTCCCTTTGATGGATCTGGCGGATGTGTGGTCGTGCTGTGAGATGTTTGAAGCCTGATGCTGCCAACACAGGGGAAGCGATCTAGGGTCTCAAACCCTGACGGTTTTCCCACCCGGTGGTTACAGGAACTTTAAGCTCGGGAGAGAGGATTGGTGAGTCTCTTTCTCCAACATTCCCTACAACATACCCCACCCTACCATGTCCAGATCCCCTTCCCGTTCAGCCATTAGCACGTTACAAGCCATCATCACCCTGAGGGTTCACCAAAGCGTTTGAGTAGAAACATTCATTTTTAACAGGTTTTCTTCTTCATTTTTTAAGTTAGCCATCAAAATAGTAAAACAAAACTCACTGTTTCTGTCACCTGTTTGTTTTTTACCAGAAGGAACCAGGCATTTTAGAAAAGAAGATTTTTCTCCTAGCTGTTAGCCAAGCCTTTGAGTAGAATACGTATTTTTTACAGTTTTTCTTCCTATTAGATATTTTCCCCTTCGAAATAGCAGGCACATTCCTTCTTCTTTTCACCTGTTGTTTAATTCAGTGGCTTTCAACCTGTGCTCCACAGACCCTTGGGGGTCTCTGCAGACTATGTCCAAGGGGCTCGCGAAAGGTTGTTGTTACCATAGAACAGTTGTTTGGAATCTGTGATCCGCGGACTCCCGGGGGTGCACAGAAAAGGGGTGCGCGGCTCCGTTCGAAATTTTGTAGGGGTCTGTAAATGACAAAAGGTTGAAACCCACTGGGTTAGTTAAAGAAGTTTTTAGAACTAAGCATTTTTCTGCTACCTATCACAAGCATTTGAGTACAACACATGTTAATGTTGATGCAGCTTTTCTGAATAGTGGATTTATTTTTTACCTGAGAAATAGCAGCAACATTCAGTCGTCTCTTTGCCTGTTTTTGAGTTAAAGGTTTCAGCAACGAGTGTTTTTCTCCGAGCTATTAGCCAAGCATTGGAGTATAACACACGTTCATTTTTAGGAAGATTTTCTTACTATTGGATTTTTTGAACCTTAGAAATAGCAGAAGTTTTCAGTCTTCCCCTCACCTGTCTCTTGGTTACAGGTTTCAGAGAAGAGCCCTTTTCTCCGAACTCTTAGACAAGTATTGGAGTATAATAGGGGCCGTGGCAAAGCGAAGGTTTCTCAATTCCCACCAGGGCTGGTAGAGCCGGTCTTGGCTGGCACAGGCGTGGGCATGTGACTTCAGCTTCCCCAGGAGCCATATTGCTCAAGGGATATAAAGTAACGCTGGAATTTCCCCCCCACCTTCCCATCCGGCTCTTCATCAGGCTCTCTCCTGTCATGAGAAACCTGGCTCCGAACGCCCTCCCCCCCTGCTCTAATCACCAGGCCCCACTCCCTGAGCTGGGAAGAGAACCCAGGAGTCAGCCTCCCACTCTAACCGCCAGACCCCACTCCCCTTCCAGAGCCGGGGAGAGAACCCAGGAGTCCTGGCTCCCAGCCCCTCCTGCTCTAACCCACCAGACCCCACTCCCCTCCCAGAGCCGGGGAGAGAACCCAGGAGTCCTGGCTCCCAGCCCTTCCCCCATCCGTGCCCTAGATCCCTATTGATCATGGCCCCCACTGAGCGAGGTGCTGCATGTTCAGGGGCGTGGGGACACGGTGACACCAGCCCCTTCTGGGGGGATTAGACCCATTTGTCCCCCTCCATGCCCCATAATCTCAAAAGGCCAGTTGTCCATTTCCCCGCCCCCCCCTCCCATTCCCTTCAGGAGGCGGGATCCACCAGTGGGAGAGGTTGACGGGCGCTGTGCTGGGCCGGGCCAGCGTTGGGCCCCTTGCAGTGTGATGTGGGGTCCCTCTGGCCCGAACGGTGACCCCACGTGGGGCTGGGGCCAGCCAGGTGTCATTCGGGGGGGGTCGTGCGGAGGCCAGTCTGGGCCCCCACGTTGGGGGCAGGTCAAACCTATCCCTGGCGGGACAGGCCCCGGTGCTGTTTTGGGGCTCGCGGTGGCCCCTGGGAGGCTGCCAGGATGGGGGGAGCTGCATGGAGAGCGGGGGGGCAGGAGCTGGGGGGGTGAGAATGAAATGGGCGGGGACCCCTTTAAGAGCCAGCCTGGGTATTGGGGAGCGGCCCCTTTAAGAACTTGAGTAACAAGCAGCGGCCCCTTTAAGAACGTCTTCTCCCCTCCCACTCGCTTCCGAGTTCGGTCCTAAGCCCTGGGTCACGTGGCGAGGGAGCATCCCCATCCGCCGGAGTCCGCGCCGGAACGGAGCCCCCCCAGTGCGCCTGCGCGGCCCGGGCTCGATCGCTGCTGCCGGGCTCAGGCTGCCCCACGCGCCGCCGGGATGGTGAGTGCGTGACGTCACTGTCCCCGGGAACCCCCGCCGGGGAGGGGATGCAGGGGGAGGGGGGCCATGCTGTGACGGGGGGGCATGGTGGGGAATGGGGCAGCCGGGGGCTATGCGGGGAGCAGGGGGACATCTGGGGGGCGGGAGGGAGACATGCAGGGGGAGAGAGGAGGAGAAGGAGGGGAGGGGGACATGCAGGGGGAGGAGAGGAGGGGAGGGGCACGGTGGGGAAGGGGGGAGCTGGGGGATGTGTGGGGAGCCAGGGGATATGTGGGTGAGGGGTAGAGGGGAGGGGGGCATGCAGGGGGAGGAGAGGAGGGGAGAGGGGCATGCAGGGGGAGGGAGAGGAGGGGCCTTGGGGGGTGGCAAGGGGCACCCAGCGGGTGAGCCGGTCTGAGAGCCGCTGGCGGGGGGAGGAGGCACTGGGGGGCCCCCCAGCTGCGTGCCAGTGAGTCCCTGGGGAGAGGCCCCAGCCCCGCCTGCAGGGAGACGCCCCCTCGCTCAGAGTGGAGGGACCCTGGGGTGCTGACGTGCGCCATCCCCCACTCCCGGCCTGATGGCTGGCCCCAGGGCTTCGGGGGCACTGGCCTGGTGGGGGGTGAACGCTGAGTGGGAGGAGGATGCGGTCAGGGGGTGGCTGGGGGGCTGCAGGGAGGTGATGGTGAGGTGCCCCAGACCAAGGGGGCTGTCGGGGGGTGGGGAGCTGTGATGTCTCTCCATGGGGGTCTCATCTCCCCCCGCCCCATTTCTCGCCAGCTTTTCTATTCATTCTTCAAATCCCTGGTGGGGAAGGACGTGGTGGTGGAGTTAAAAAATGATCTGAGGTGAGTCCTGGTGCACACGGGGATCCCCCATTGCCTGTTAACCCCCCCCGCTCTAACCACTAGGCCCCACTCCCCTCCCAGAGTTGGGGAGAGAACCCAGGAGTCCTGGCTCCCAGGCCCCCCTGCTCTAACCCACTAGACCCCACGCCCCTCCCCAGAGCTGGGGTAGAACCCAGGAGTCCTGGCTCCCAGCTCCTCCCCCCCCCCCACTGTAACCCCTGTGGTAACACCGCTCCCTCTCTGTTGCAGTATCTGTGGGACCCTCCATTCTGTAGATCAGGTAAGAAATTTCCAGGTTATTTTCAGAGCGTGTGTCCCCCTCAGTGCACCTGGCCCAGGAGATTCCCCCACCCTGGGGCCAGATCGGAGCCGGTGCCCTCTGCGCCCCCCCCATCGCACCCCCTGAACCAGCCCATCCCCTGTCCTGCGGCTGGATCGGAGCCGGTGACCCCCCCATCCCACCCCCCGAACCAGCCCGTCCCCTCTCCTGGGGCCGGGTCGGATCTGTTGCCCCCTGCGCCCCCCCATCCAACCCCCTGAACCAGCCCGTGCCCTGTCCTGGGGCCAGGTCGGATCTGTTGCCCCCTGTGCCCCTCCATCCCACCCCCCTGAACCAGCCCGTGCCCTGTCCTGGGGCCGGGTCGGATCTGTTGCCCCCTGCTGGGGCAAGGCCCCCTGTGGACTCCTCTCTTCCCCCAAGCCAGCCAGTCCCTTCCCTGGGGCCAGATTGTAGCCGACGCCCGTACAGGGGACAGGCCCAGTGCCCCATTCCCCCCCCCCCCCCCCCCCCCCCCCGGGCGAGCGGCCCGGGGCCCCCCCCCCCCCCCCCCGCTTTCCCGGCAGAGCGATGCAGAAGGGAGCCCCTTGCCCCCCTCCGTCTGGGTGTTAACCGTCCGCGTGTCTGTCTGTCCTGCCAGTACTTGAACATCAAGCTGACTGATATCAGCGTGACGGATCCAGAGAAGTACCCCCACATGGTAAGGGGTAGAGGGGGCCTTGCTGGCGGGGGGGTGTGGGGAGCGCGGGGGGCAGCGGGGGGGGTCAGATGTGCTGATGGCATTTCTCACAGGGTGGGTCTGGTGTCTGTGTCTCTGTCCCAGCAGGGGGTGGGGCCACAGACACGGGGCGGGGGCTGATCCTCCCAACCAGCAGGGGGGCAGACAGTACCCCCCCGCCTGCTATCAAGGGGTGGGGACACATGTGGGGGTGGGCTCTGACACACCCACCGCTGCCATCAGGGGGCGGGGACACACCCACCCCAGCCAGCAGGGGGCACCGCGCTCCCCCTCACCCCGCTCTCTCTCCCCAGCTGTCGGTGAAGAACTGCTTTATCCGGGGCTCCGTGGTGCGCTACGTGCAGCTGCCGGCGGATGAGGTGGACACGCAGCTGCTGCAGGACGCCGCGCGCAAGGAGGCGCTGCAGCAGAAGCAGTGACCCCCCCCATGTCCCCTCCCTCTCCCTGCTGCAGGGGGTGCAGGGCGGAGACCGGCCCCGCCCGGCTGCTTCCCCGCCGGCCGTGAAATCCCCCCTGCTCGGCAGCTCCTGCCACTACACCATGGGGAAACTGCTGCTCCCAGACGCTTGGGTTCGTGGCTGCTCCCCCTCCTGGCTGGGAGCAGGAGCTGAGCCGCAGTCCGGGAGCCCGGACGCCTGGGTCCACTCTGCTCCCTCCATGCTCCGGGAGTAGGAGCCGAGCCCCTATCCAGGAGCCCGGATGCCTGGGTTCTTCCTTTCCACCCTGCCCTCCCAGGCCCCGGAGGCCTGAGTTTCTCTCTGCAAGCCCAGGCTTCTGGACTCCTGGGTTCGTCTCCGCTTGTGCTCGGGAGGGAACAGGAAGAGCAGAGGGGAACCCAGGCATCTGGGGCCCTGCATGGGGGCTCAGCTTCGACTCAAGAGAATTGGGCGGTGGCTGTGCCCTTTCTAGGACCCGGACACCTGGGTTCACCTCCCTGCCCCCCAGTATCCCCAGATCTAGGACACCTGGGTTCTGTGTGCTCCCCTGAGCTGCTTGTCTCTTGAGATGAATATCGGGGTGGTTCCTAGATTTGTCGTGTTTCCCCCCTTGGGGAAAACATTTTGGGGGGGTCCCTTTAGTTCCAGTCTGAATCTCCCCAGCCCCCTCTATCACCTCCATGGCCAGTTAAGCCTCATTTTTATTTTTAAACTCTTAATTTCTCCCTGTTCTTTAAGGGGGGTGTTTAGTCCCCCCACATCTTTGGGGGGGGCAGGGACTGAGCTTCTGGGGTGCCGTTAACCCCAGCTGGCGAAATCCTGGAAGAGTTGTTGGGTGTTTGAGTTTGGGGGGGGGGGGGGGGGGGTTGGGGTTTTTTTTTAGGGTTTGGGCCGAGGGGGATGAAGGTTTTTTGTATGTTTGATTTGTGGCTTGAAGACTCGGGCGGAATAAAATTTGGAGCCTGGTTACAAACTTTTGTTGTTGTTTATGGTAGGGTCTACAGTCTGCTCCAGCCCAGGGTCCTCTCTTGGCCCAGACGCCCAGGTTCATCTCCGCACCCCCCCCCCCCCCCCCCCCGGCTCATTATAGATGCCGAGCTGCTGTCCGGGCTCCTGGACACTTGGGTTCATTTTTGCTCCTCTCCCCCCCGCTGCCAGAGCAGAAGCTGGGCTCCCCGGTAGGGCCCTGGATGCCTGGGTTGATCCATGTTCTACATGTGGGGAAACTGAGGCACGGAGAGATGCGACTTCCTCACTCTCACAAGCAATCTAGGCCAGAGCAGGGCTGAGAACCCAGGGGTCCGGGCCCTCAGCTATGACCCAGTCTGCTCCCTCAATGCTGGTGTGTGTTGAGGGCCCCCAGAGCGGATGGGTTGAGCAGGGGGAACGGGTGCTTGGTTGGTCCCTTTAGCGTGGGCCGTGTTCTCTTTTTCGCACACAATGCTGCCTGTCCCTTTAAATAATAGATAATGTTTTCACCTCTTTTTATTGCATCATCAAACACTTACTATGACATCACCCTGGGGAAAGCACTGCCCCTTTCATGTTACATCATTGTCTAAGGGGAGCCTCGCACTTTAAGTGTTACTCAGGCTCCGCCCCTTTCTCAGGACAACCTCATCTGTCACTAACTTTCTGCCCTTGCAAACATAGTAGGCTCCGCCTACTGAGCTTATTGCATCAGGCTCAATTTGCAACAGGTTCCCCCCTTTTCACATGCCTTGTCCTAAGGGAGCTTTCCCTTTAAGAAATATTACATCATCAGAGGACTCCATCTGCCTCCCTTTTAAAAAGATGATGTCATCAGATAAGGCTCCACCCCTTCCACTAGACTGCATTCAGCAGGTTCCTCTAAGCTCCTCCCATTGGTGATGTCATCAAGCCCGGCCCTCTTTAAGAGTAGCTGTGACCTCACTGGCCAGGCTGTGAGCTGTGGCTTGACGATGTCATAGTGGCTCCTTAAGCCCTGCCCACTTTAAGAGTATTACGCAATTCCCTTCATGAGGTGAGGTCACTGTTGTGGGACCTGCCCCTTTAATGGTCTTAGGTTCTGCCCTGAGGTTGGGGAATGGCTGCTTCACCCCACAACCGGCTGCTGATTGGTTGGTGTGAGATGGGTGGGGATGCAGTGCCAGCCAATGGGAAGGCAGGGTGACTCTGCAGTCATTCTACAGAGCGAGCAGTGGGGTTTAGTGGGTGGGGCTGGGAGCTGGACTCCTGGGTTCTCTCCCAGCTCTGGGAGGGGAGTGGGGTCTAGTGGTTAGAGCTGGGGGGGGGGGCTGAGAGCCAGGACTCCTGGGTTCCCTCCCAGCCCTGGGAGGGATGTGGGGTCTGGTGGTTAGAGCTGTAGGGGGCTGGGAGCCAGGACTCCTGGGTTCCCTCCCTGGCTCCTCCTTCCCTATTTAAGTGACCCCCTTTAGCCCCCCAGCCCAATCCCATAAGCACTCCCTGAATCCCCATCCCTGCCTGCAGCCTGGGCACCCAGGGGTTAACACCCCCCCCCCAGCCGCAAATGCTCTGCAAACATCCGGCAAATGCTTTGCACCAGCAGGGCTGATCCCTCCCTCTCCCCTCCCATGAGCCCCCCAAGCAGCAGCCCCTAACTCCCCCCCCCACTCACCCAGAGGGACACCCCCCCCACACCTCCCTCCTGCCCCATTCCCCATTTGCAAACTGTTTGCAGACCCCTGGGGGCCGATTGCAGCTGGTGCCACTGCTGGGGGGGGGAAGGGAGAGGAAAGGGGGGACCCCACCCCTTTCTGCCCCCCCCTTCCCAGCAGCCTTTGCAGCTGGCTGCAAGCAGAGGAGACAGGAGCAGCATTTGCAGGCAAAAGGAGAAACCCAGGTACCTTCCTGCTGCAGCAGGGGGGCGGCTGAGGGGGCCATGACAGGACCCTGAGGGGCCCTTGGCCTGTGGGGGACCCCACCCCAATATTTAGCATTAATGCAACAGGCCTCGTAGCTGGAGTGCAGGGGGCAAGGAGTCGGTAGGGGGCGCTCTCCCCTGGCAGTCAGGGCTTGCCCCCGTGAGATGCTAGAGGGCGCCGTGCTGCAGGGAGCCGGGCCAGGGGCTCAGCAGGGGATGCTGGGCTGTGGGGAGCAGGGCTGTGTGGGGTGCTAGGGAAGAGGGAGTGGGGTGGGGGCTTGGCAAGGGGCACTGGGGTGGGGGGTTTTGCAGGGGGAGAGAGGGCACTGGGCAGGGGATGCTGGGGCAAAGGGCACCGGAGCAGGGGGCGTGGTGAGCTCACCCCATCCCTCCCCACAGAGTGCCGGGGGGGACTCAGCAGGGGATGCTGGAGCAGGGGGCCCTGGGGCGGGGTGCTGGGGCAGGGGGCGCCGGGTGGGGGCCTGGGCACGGGGTGGGGTATCAGAGCAGGGGGCGCAGTGGGCTCACCCTATCTCTCCCCAAGGGGCACCGGGGCGGGGGGGGGCGGGTAGGGGGCACAGGCAGGAGGCGCGGGGGGCTCACCCCGTCTCTCCCCAGGGGGCTCTCTCCATGTCGGCGCACCTGGCCCTGGTGGACTGGCTGGACGAAGGCTTCTCCAGCATCATCGAGCTGGCGGCGGTGAGCGAGCCGCGCCGGGACCCCGCCCGCTACCGGCCGGGCCAAGAGGTGGCGGCCCGGTGTCCCCTCTTCAAGGGGCTGAACCGCGCCCGCATCCTGGCCCTCAGCGGTGAGTGAGCGAGCAAGCGCCCCCCCTTCTCCGGCCGCCCCCCTTTTCCGAACACACCCCGTCCGTCCATCCCCCACTTCTCCGTCTGTCCCTCCCTCCATCCGACCCCCAGCCCTCTGTCCGTCCCCCCTACACCTCTCTGTCCCTCCCTCCCTCCATCCATCCCCCACTTCTCCGTCTGTCCCTCCATCCATCCATCCCCCCACACCTCTCCGTCCGTCCCCCCTGCACCCCCTGTCCGTCCCCCCCACTTCTCCGTCCCTCCCTCCCTCCATCCGTCCCCCCAAACCCCCTGTTCATCCCCCCCACACCTCTCTGTCTGTCCCTCCCTCCATTCGTCCCCCCAAGTCCCCTGTCCGTCCCCCCCACACCTCTCCATCCATCCGTCCCTCCATCCCTCCCCCCGTACCCTCCGTCCGTCCCTCCATCCTCTCTTCTCTCCCTGCAGGGGACAGGCAGGAGTTGAAATGGATCCAAGTCCGGGCCGGGGGCTGTCCCGGGAGCAGCTGGGGGGGCGGGACGCTGCGGGGCCCCCCCTACCGCCGGGTGGCAACATGGAGACAGGACAGAGTGCCCCCCGAGAGAAGGAAACACAGCACAGGTGGGTGCTGCTCCCCCTGCCGGACACCTGGGTCCCGTACCCCATCCCGGTCTCCAGCCCCCTAGGGGTGAGCACTGCGCTGCTGTCCCGGATGCCTGGGTCCCATTCCCTGTCCTGGTCTCCAACCCCCTAGGGGTGAGAGCCCTGCGCTGCTGTCTTGGACGCCTGGGTCCCATTCCCTGTCCTGGTCTCCAGGCCCTAGGAGTGAGAGCCCTGCACTGCTGTCCCAGACGCCTGGGTCCCATTCCCTGTCCTGGTCTCCAGGCCCTAGGGGTGAGAGCCCTCCACTGCTTTCCCGGATGCCTGGGTCCCATTTCCTGTCCTGGTCTCCAGCCCCCTAGGGTGAGCGCTGCACTGCCGTCCCG